GCCACCATTAGTCTCTAACTCTAATATAAGGCAGATCATTAATCTTCTGCAGAACTATGACTTTAGCCACTTAAACTCTTTTTAGTGCTTTTCATGACAAGGACATGATAGGCTTTGTAAATTTAGGAGTTAAGATGTGTTTCTAACACATTAACTTAGACAAGCTCAGCTGTTTTTTGAAACACCAACTTTACAATAAAAAATGCTTTGCTTTGGAGAAATGATGAAAAGTTGTAAGAAAGAAAAAACAAAAGGGGTCCTACAGAGTTAATCACAAATGACACTGTTTAGATCAATGAAAGCAAATCATTTTTCCTAGGTGTCATCCTCAGTCTTGATGATGTGGAAAAGGGTGACATTGAACAGGACCTGGTGGCCATTGTTCCAGGCATAAAGAGCTCTGTCTCTTGCATTGTAGTCAAGCATGGATATATGAAAGTATTGGTTATGGAAGGGAATGTCTGTGTATTCATATGTGGAGGTTTTTGTGGAATAGGAATAATACACCTTGGCTCCAGTTAAGTGGGAGTTGGTGACATACAGTGTCCCACAGATCATGAAAGATTCTCCTGCACTTCTCTTGGGGTAGCCCGTGCTCCAGCTCTTCATCACCTCCAAGGTATCTTGGTTCAGCTGGCTGATGACAATATTGCCTGCATTCTGGTTAGTTGCATACACAGCCCACAGCCCGATTTCATCAGCCATTAGGTCGATGTCAGAGAATCCACCCCATGTGTAGGGGTAAACGTTGTGAAAACCAGCATACTCCAGGCTTCGTTGGGCAAGCACTCTCCCCATATCAAAGCTGTATTTGATGATGATATTACTCTGATACTTATTAAAATAGAGTGAGCCATTGTAGACAACATGATTAGTTCCTGCCCACTTGAAAGGGAGATTGTATGTCCTTGATTCAGCCCCACTGACAAAGTCTGCAATTGATTTGTACTCACGGACAATTTTATTGTTAGTATAACTGTCCATGTACCAGACCTGAAAGAAGAAAAAAATAAATGCAGTGACTAAATTCTGTACTTTTCTAAGAATTCCAAAATAAAGACAGTGAGAATCAGCACATATTAATGTCACAATTCTCTGGCTCTGGAAGCCAGATTATCTTACCGCTGACCTGCTACAATGCGATACTACTGAAGGCTTTTGTAAAAATATTGACAAGGTCTATGTGGAACTGAATTTACAGCCTTGGAGTTGATTTACTTTTTGCTTTATCTTTCTTTGTTTTCTAAATTTTTTAATTTGTTAAAAAATTTTTGACCATTTAATTAATATCACTGAGTGAACCAAACATATGTCAATGCAAATCACACCACCTGATAGATCAATGTGGTGAACGGTGATAACTGGAAAAAACATAACATGCGGCAGTTTATATTTCTTCTATCCCTTGCTCTGAAAAACCGTATGTTCTAATTTTTCATACTCAACTTATTTCTTTTTTATGGGTACCACAGAATCTTCTAGTAACACTTGTTCATTGGATCAGCTTATAGGTACAACTACCTTTTAATAAAACCATTTTACTAATTTAATGACTAATCTCACTTGGATGAAACACTTGAGAATCTTAATTTATAATGAATTCTGTAATATAACATAAATTGAACTATGGTTAAGTTTCCAGTTTATTGATCTACATAATACAGGCATTGCCAACTTATGAAAACACCCCCTCAAAGTTTCAATACTATTTCTTTTAAAATTACCTCTAGACTCCAGGGGACAGTTTAGCTTACTTAGTAAATAGGTTGGCTCTTGAGTTTTTCATTTATTTGGTGCTATCTTGTTTTTACACAAAGGAGCAGATTATAGAAAGAGTACACAGGGAATTTCATATGCTTGTAATT